ACCAACATCAGCCTCCTTCTCATCACAGGAAGCACAAAGGATGAGCACCTACTCTTCATGACTTCATGACAGCATGTTCATCTCTTGACTGGGCTGGGATTGTGTAGATGGAGGGAGGGTGAGGAAAGACTGAGCAGCCATCTTTCCCAGGTGTCCATTAGACTGGGCATCCATTTCAACCTCCCTCTCCCAACAAAGTCTGAGTCGGGTCTCAGAGAAGCTTGTGAATAACTAGCAATCCCTGAGGCTGGTGGGCACATCCTTCTTGGTAAGATTGAGGGTGGTCCCTACGGCATAAGTCGCTTTCAGCCCCATTGGCAAGCTGATTTGGCAGTCCTAGGGGGAAGGCAAGCTGGCTCAGAGATTTGTAGCACATGCCACAGATTGGGCACAGGTGGATGGGAAGCCGGAACCCACAGTGAACGCTGCCACTTTAAACAATGGGCACCAGCACAGCTGCTCCGAAAAGCGGGCACCAGGGCTAAGCTGGTCAAAACTGCCTCTGCCTTGCGTGCAGCAGGTGCTCAATAAATGATTATAGAATCAATGGCTTAAAGAATGAATGGAGGGAGTCCCGTGACGTTCATGTATCTTCTCCAGTTTTTCAGGGGAGCTTATCCTGTTGGCTCAGGAAGGGAATGCCTCAGGACAAGCAGAAATAGCCCAAAAGTGAGGCCACCAGGAAGAGAAAGCTCATTTTCTGGTCACGCCAACTTTGAATCATTTATTAGCAATTCCCCCACGAGGATCCTCTTCAGTAGAGAGGTAACATCTGTTTGTGACACTGTGTCCATGGGAGGCACCAGAAAACTCTTACACCCTGAAAACCTCCATGCTGGACCACGCACACGCGATGTTCTCACCCCAGGACCCGCCGGGGCCTCGGGTGCGAAGGGTGGGTCTCTGTACTTGGATGCCGGGAGTGGAGAGAGACAGATGCTCAAGTGACCCAGGTGGGAGGACGTGGGGAGTTGACACTTGCGTGGGGCGGGCTGCTGCCACCTGCAGGGTTCTCTGCAGAGAACTTCAGGGCCCTGGACCTTCCAGGTGGCCCACACTGACCAGCGGATTCAGCCTTAATGTCCATGTCCCAGGAAGGATGTAATGGATGAGTTGTCCGGAGAGACCTAGCTGGGGAGGGAACCAGAGGTGGGGAATGTTACCAGCCTGTCTTCTCCCCCTCCCCCTACATCTGTGGTTGGTGGACAATGATGCTGCAGGGGCAAGGGGCAAAGGGACAGTGTGGAGAGAATTCCTGTCCTTGCCATCCTGGTCCTCCAGTGGGGCTCACAGGCTGCTCTCCCTCAGGCTCTGGCTGTCCTGCTGCTGGAGTGGCTGGTCCTTCTGTCCCCATCCTGCTGCCTCCTCCCCACCATGTACACACACACACAAAGCAGAGACAAAGGCCAGGCTGCAGATGCTCCCCTGGGACTTGGGGAAGCATCAGCTGTGGGCCTGGATCTTTTATTCCCCAGAGCCTCAACCGGCAGTGTGGTTCTTGGAGAGAATTCTGAAAAGGGGAAGATACTCCCCAGGGATCCAAGTGCCTGAGTCTCCGAGAGTGTCAACCCACGTGTTCCCCATCTTCCCAATAAATCCTGGGCTGTCCTGGCTCCTCCTGGATCAGGCCAAACCCTGCTCCTGCTTGCAGGCCAGCTGCCCCAGGGCTCAGACTCCAGGACAGGACCTACCCAGGGCAGGAGAGAAAGGCGGGGTGATGGGTCTTTGGGGAGTGCCTCCACCAGAGCCCACCTGTCCCAGGTGAAGGGCTTGGCAGGTGCAAGAAAGGACACGTGGCCCTGTCAACTGGGGTCCCCTGCTGGGACACCAGGCACATGAGGGGACTGGTGTTCAGAGCATTCCCAACTGGGCCCCTGAATCTCGTGCCCCTGGTTTCATGGCTCCCCTCTCTGCTTCTCTGTCTCCAGGTTTGGCGGTCCATCAGATCATCACCATCACCGTCTCCCTCATCATGGTCATAGCTGCTCTGATTACAACTCTTGTCTTAAAAAACTGGTAAGGCTTCTCGGCCCTGCTGGCCTGGAAACAGGGGTCCACGGGGGTCCCTGGGGAAGTGCACACAGAAGAGCCTCTGCTTTTCAAATCTGCTCCGGCGCACAGCCCAGGGAGTTGCTTCTGTTTGCTGGTGAATTCCACGCTCGACCCCTCACCTTTGCCCTGGGCAGCTCGGCCGGCGGGTGGGCGGCTCGCTGCCTGGCATGGCCCTTCCTTCCGGTGGCGAGCCCGGGCCCCTTGACTTAGTCCCACAGGCGGCAGCAGGTGTCCTGTTCCCAGAGCCCGTCTCTCAGATCCCAGTGCCCTTTGAATGTCACCCTCCCAGCTCGTTTTTCATTATTTCCCACCAGCTGCCTGGGTGCGGGGGTGCGGCGGGGGGGGGGTCTGTGCCTGCCCCTCGCTGTCCCCGGCTGTCCCCGCCAGCCTCTCTGTCTCCTGCCTTCCTCTTGAGGCCGCTCTGGGTCTGCCGAACTAGGTTACTGCTTTGCTCCAGGCAGCCTGTCTTTGCCCATTTCCTCCTGGAAATTGGCCTACTTTGAGGTTGGCCTTGCTGGGTGTACACACCTGCGCCACCCCTGGGAAAATCCGGGCTCTGCTGGGCGACCCTGCTGCTCGCACGCCTCCCTGCTGCCACTCCTCCAGCAACGCGGCTCCTTTTAGCATCGAAGCCACCCGCCCTTGTGGAGTAACACACCCAGCACCCCCCACCCCCCCGCTGACCAGACAGGAGGTCAGGCGGGCTGAGGGGAGGGGCCGCCCTGGGCCTCCGGGGAGCGGAGAAGCATGGAAACGGGAGCGAAAGCTGGTCTCCAGGATTAGAGAGGATGGGGCTGGGGGCACCAGCCCGGAACAGACCTCACGCCGAGCCGGAAAGGCCTGGAAGTGGCCTCCTGA